AAATCATAAATGGGGGGGTTTTTTTGTATCATTCGATAGAAAAAATGGAGTTCTAGCAAAATAGTTATATTTTTGTCGTAGTACAAGGAAATGGCCAAAAATTGGGGTCAAAGTAGGCAAAATGCCGATGCTAAACTAGTCGAGACGGTAAATTCGCAAGAGCAAATTCCTTAAATTTTCCATCAAATTTCATATTTTTGGTGTCATTATGATCGGGAAAAGATTCTCTATCTTTTCATGAGAATTTTTTTTTTTTTCTTGAATTTGGGTGACCCTGAGAACAAGTCTGGGAGAGGCCTGCTGACCCTGAAAGGGTTAAATGTTCATTTATCCATTTTATTAGTGCTTTATATTTATTTGTCATTGCTTTCTGTATGAATATCTATATTTAACCCTTTGGACTGTTTCGGCCATATATATAAGTCTTACGAGCCAGTGTTTCGAACGTATATATACTCAATTCTAGTGGCTTCAAATCAAGCAGGAGAAAAGCTGGTAGGCCCACATGTGAGAGAATGGGTCTGTGTGGTCAGTGTGCACTGTATAAAAAAAAATCCTGCAGCACGCAGTGCAAGAGAAAAAAAAACTCTGGGCCGTGTTTTAGGATTAATACACCGACCATGAGAGGGGTATTTCATATAGTATTTCTAGTTGTATTCTCGTTTTCTTGGTCTTATTTGATAGAATGGAAAAAAATACAGAATAGAAATTATTTTGATTGGTTTCACGATGAAAACGACCATGAAATTGAGCTCAAAGTAGCGGAAATGTTCGATTTTTACCAATGTTCAAGAGTCAGCAAATCACACCACACGTCCAATACACGTCAACTGGGGAGTCTAATATTCTTTCACTAGTGCACTGATATTATTTTATACCATTTTTACAATAATGCAGTAGTCTGCATAACAATAAATCTTCTATTTTTGTGTGAATAAAAAATCAAAACAGAAAGTAAGAGTAATATAAGAGGGGCCTGGAGGATGTGACTAATGAAGAGAGGATATGTTATTTTAGTGCCAAGAATGTCTGCATTGTTTATTCTGGACCCTATTTTGAAATTGGCATCCTTTTCAAATTGCGTGAAATTGGTCAAATTGCCAAATACTGACCACTTTGTGTACGAAATGGTATATAATACCGACAAGATGAGAGTAAGACACATGTGCAACATCTGGTATCTTTATTGTAGACGTTTCGCCATCCAGTGGCTTTATCAATACAAATTCTAGGACATAACTTGAAGACAGTAGAACTATGTACAGAAGATGAGGTAATCAGTCCCTCAACCTAGGAGTAGGTGCGAAGAGCACCATAGTCGTGGAGATTCTGGAATCTCCACGACTATGGTGCTCTTCGCACCTACTCCTAGGTTGAGGGACTGATTACCTCATCTTCTGTACATAGTTCTACTGTCTTCAAGTTATGTCCTAGAATTTGTATTGATAAAGCCACTGGATGGCGAAACGTCTACAATAAAGATACCCAGATGTTGCACATGTGTCTTACTGACCACTTTATTGGGTAGTTGACATCTGTAAATGGGCAGTTTCTTGTACACAATTGATAGAAAAAATGGAGTTCTAAAGAAATAGCTATGAGTTTGGTCGACTGGAACAATGGAACTGGCTGAAAATAGGGCTCAAAGTCGGCAAAATCGCCGATGAGTATATATCGCTGAGATCGCTAACTTCACGGGAGTGTAATTCCCTAAGTTTTCTATTAAATTTCATACTTTTGGTTTCATTACATCAGGAAAAGATTCTCTATCATTTCATAAGAAAAAATAATTTTTTTTTTCCAAAAATTTTGCGACATAGAATGAGTTTCAGAAATGGGCTTGTGACAGTCAAAGGGTTAATCTTTAAAAAAAAAATTTTTATTGTTAATACTTTTGGGCGCCTGAAATGGATTAATTGGATTTCCATTAATTCTTATGGGGAAAATTAATTCGGCTAACGACAAAATTGGTTAAAGGCAAGCTCTCTGAAACAGATTAATGCCATTACCCGAGGGTCCGCTGTACGTAATAATAATAATGCAGTGGAACCTCTACTTACGAGTGCATCCACGTGCAAGTTTTTCCAGATAAGAGCAGCTGCTCGGTCGATATTTTGCTTTCAGACGAGAGCAAAATTTCCAGATGCGAGCGGGCCTCAAGGTAGGTTAATTGACACTGGTGAAGGGGCTCTTGCTCTTGATCTAGGGAATTGGATATCAGTTGTTTGTTAGACTATCTTATTGAAACTTGGACAATGTATGATGAAAAGATGCTTCTTAACGCATACCAAAAATGAAAGAAATCGGACCATAAATAATGGAATTCACTTCTCAGCCATTAGCCTCCCCTTGGCGGTATATTTTCATATGGTTTGTATGGTTGTATTCTCGCTTTATTTGGTCTCATGTGATAGAATGGAAGATATACTACAAAAATAAATATGATTTTAATTGGTTTCACGATGAAAAGTACCTTGAAACTGAGCTCAAAATAGCAGAAATGTTTGATTCTTTGGCGACATCAGTGGTAGACATCATGAGGTAGCAGTGGCAGACAACATGAAGCAGCAGTGACAGACAACATGAAGCAACAGTGGCAGACATCATGAGGTAGCAGTGGCAAACATGAAGCAGCAGTTGCAGACATCATGAGGTAGCAGTGGCAGACAACATGAGGTAGCAGTGGCAGACAACATGAGGTAGCAGTGGCAGACAACATGAAGCAGCAGTGACAGACAACATGAAACAGCAGTGACAGACAACATGAAGTAGCAGTGACAAAATGAAGCAGCAGTGAAAGACAACATGAAGCAACAGCGGCAGACATCATGAGGTAGCAGTGGCAGACAACATGAAGCAGCAGTGGCAGACATCATGAGGTAGCAGTGGCAGACAACATGAGGTAGCAGTGGCAGACAACATGAAGCAGCAGTGACAGACAACATGAAGCAGCAGTGACAGACAATATGAAGCAACAGTGGCAGACAACATGAAGAAGCAGTGGCAGACAACATGAAGCAGCTGTGGCAGACATCATGAGGTAGCAGTGGCAGACAACATGAAGCAGCAGTGGCAAAGTGAAGCATCAACAGTGTAGCAATTAAGTTTAGCATTAAGAGTGTAGCAATTAAGTGTACCATTAAGAGTGTAGCACTTACAAGTCACTCTGACTTTTTTGGGTTACCCTAGGTTCTCTACACATGTAGTCAGGAGCAGGAATGGCCCTATAAACCCCGACAACAATGGCTGATGTCACCACCACTAGCCACATACCTAATGGCATGTATTTTATTCATTCTAGTGTATATATCATGTTTCTATGCTATTAATATTGTTTACTGTGTCATATTACATGAACTGTGATAGATAAATAAGCTGTAGGGTTGATATTAGGGAAAAAATTTAAGTATTTTCTCGTGCCTGGAATTCCACTGGAACGAATTAATTCCATTTCAATTAATTTAAATGAGGAAAACTGACTCTGCCAACAAGCAAATCCATGGGTCATGGAACGTATTAAACTCGTAAGAAGAGGTTCCACTGTACTTATAATAATATGTAATACTATGAAGAATTGAGACACTTACGCAACATATGGGAATCTTTACTGAAGAAACGTTTCGCCACACAGTGGCTTCATCAGTCCAATACAAAGCAGGAAGGTATAAGGAGAGGAGGAGTTGAGGTAATCAGTCTCTCAGCCTGGTGAAACGTTTCTTCAATAAAGATTCCCATATGTTGCATACATGTCTCAATTCTTCAAGCTGTCGGTTTTCAAAACCATTTATCTCGCACATAATACTATAGTAATACAGTGGATCCCCGGTTTTCATAATTAATCCATTCCAGAGAGAGTGACTAAACCCGAATCTGATGATTTACAAATTAATTTTCCCCATAAGAAATAATGTATATCCAATGAATCCGTTTCAGACACCCAAGTATTAAAAAAAATGTTTTCTACATGAAATATACATTTACCTACACAGAAAACAATGATATATGAAGAATAAAGCAATAATAACATCACACTTACCTTAATTGAAGACATGGTGATGTATGGAAGATGGGAGGAGGGGAGAGGATGGAGGAGTTTACAACTGTTTGAAAGGGGAATCCCCTTCCATAAAGCCTTCAGGTACTAAGTCCTTATCCTGGGTTACGTCCCTTTGTTTTTTAATGCCACTAGGACCAGCTTGAGAGTCACTGGACCTGTCACTTAAAAAAGTGTTCCAGAGAGGTCTGTTTCTGGCCTATGAAGATTGATTCTGGCCTATGTTAGGAATTGTGTTAGGAGACAGGACAAGATAGTCCTTCAATATGACACTAATATCAGATATATGGTTTATTTATCTAGCATAAAAATTCATCTATTATGACATACTAAACAATATAAATACAGTGGAACCTTGGCTTACGAGTTTAATCTGTTCCAGGAGCTAGCTCGTAACTCAATTTACTCGTATATCAAATTAATTTTCCTCATTTAAATTAACTGAAAAGCCATTAATTCGCTCCTGCACTCTGGAGAGACGAGAAAAATACTTGAATATGACGCTATTATCAACTTAACGGCTTATTTATCTATCACAATTCATCTAATATGACATAATAAACAATATAATTAGCACAGAAACATGATATGTATTCTATAATGAATAAAATAGGCCATAATATGGTGGCAGAGGAAGAGGCAGAGGAAGTGGCAGTGGCAGAAGCATCAGCCATTTCTGTTCCAATTTGACTATAGTATCATCCCATGTTCTTACTGTAAGAGAAAATGGAGTATTTTTGAGGCTAACTACATTAGATCACTAGGACCCATGGTTAGATAAAAGAAATTTGGCCAAATGACTAAAAAAATGCAAACAAGCACAAGAGAACTGCTCCCCACAGGGATGTAAACATGTTTACTGCTGTGTCAGTGGAACGCCTTCCATCTGAACAAAAGAAACTAATGGAAAAATAAATAAATAAATGACTAGGAAAAATAAGAATAATGATTTTTGAGGATTTTACTTAAAATTTAAATATAATAAAAAAAAATGGCCTTCGGTTCTTGTAGTTGGGCAGGAGTAGGTAAGGCCCTGGATAGATCTTCTGATATTATTGATGTAGGTTATCCTGGGCGGATGGTGATAGTCCGATGTTTTGGAATCTCCTACCACTTGGATGGAGCACCACAAGTAGAACAGGTAAGGGCCAGTAGTAGTCCAATAATGTTAATAAGTCTCATTAACAAATGTCTTGCTCCTTTATCTGGCGTCTATCCTGGATGACCACGCCAGGAACAGAGCTGGTAATAAGAAAAAATAACTGGTTACCAATGGTCATGATAATATAACATTTAAGAATGGAAAAGAATGATAAATGCCAAAATCATTACTGGTAACCAGCAAACAAAAGAAAGGAACAAACAGTAATACTCCTGGTAGATCACCCTACCTGATTAGGAGAAGAGTGGAGGTGAAGTGACTCTCAAAACTTCAACCCACACTAGGTAAGGTCAATATTACCAGGAGCAGAAATTTGAACAAATCAGACACCAAGAACTAGTTTCGCCCCAGCCCGCCAGAGGTGGGGGGGGTGCGCGACGTAACTCGCTAATGGTTCCTGGTTGTCTGAACAACCTTAACCCCACTTACGCCTACTTTTCCCTCACAATACCCCCTTCCTAAACTTATGGACGGAGTCAATAAGTCAACAAACAGAGGGAAAAGAACTAAATACAACCTCGGCTCAGCCAATCTGAAAAGTGGTTTTCAGAGCCAGAAATATAAACGACTTTAAACTTATAGGGCTGAATAGCCAGAGCCCATCCAAGTACATCAGTGGCTTGTGATCTGTTTCAAGCATAACATTCTTTATCCACAGTGGAATATCTTTCTTCTTTGGGCAGCTGGACGCATAGTCAAAGTTAAAATATATTTATGACCTGATGAACGAGGGTCAACTATATCTACTGCAATTCTTGCAAAAGGGACTGAGAAAATTGGCATATTTACCAAAGGAACTCTCATAGTTCTACCCTTTTGCGTGGAAAGTTGACATACGTGACATGATCTGCAGTACTTATAGATGTCAGAGGACATACTAGGCCAGAAATATAGGTCCTTGATTTTATTATAGGTCTTCCTATGTGAAAAATGGCCAGAGACTGGTAAGTCATGAGAAATCTTTAAAATAGTTTCCCGGCAATCCTGCGGAATGACTAACAGGCTTCGACCAACGTCATTGGGTTTGTCCGCAGACACTATAGTTTTGTACAAAAGATCGTGTTTGAACTCAAACTTGTAAGAAAATTTCTTTCTCTGTATCACCTTGCCATTTAAAGCTAACTTCCGAGATTCCTCTAAGGAAGGACAAGTCTTTTGAAGACCCTCTAAATCTATGTGAGACAGCTCAATTGGCTTTCCTTTGGAAAGAACTAATGGGTGGATAGGTTTTACCTTAGACTGAGCTCTGGTAAGGACGTTAATTGTGTCTAGTTGTTGAAAAGATTGCGCCACACGTAGTTTTCCACTGGTGTCTGCGTTGTCCAGTTTAAGTGACTGACTTACTAAAGGTGTTACCGGAGTTTTGTAACCATCAGCTCTCTGATTTAAGTTATCGAACTGAATCTCATCTGGAACTATCTGTGAAGAAACAGAGATACTAGGTTCCAACCCTTCCTTGGAAACTCCAAATTCCAAACAGTCCTTCTCAGATGGGAAAGTAGCCCCTTGTATGTTCCCAACCAAAACAGAACACGAGGTTATCGGGGCAACTACGGCATCTACCCATCCTGAGAACCATTTGCACCTAACAAAACATCTGACTGTTGGAAAAGAATCGCTTCTTCCTAAATAGTCAGTTAATTTAGTGGACTTATAACGTGAAGAATCTAGGTTAGGGAAAAGCTTACTCGAGATAACAATACAGGAACATCCAGTGTCTCTAAGAATGGTTGACACATTCATGCCATTAAACTGTACCTTCACTAAAAGGTGCGTTTATGTTTGATTCAGTGAAACATTTACCGACATTTTCACCTTTTTTTTCTAGGACAGTCGGGCCGTCTATGACCCCACTCATTACAGTTGAAACACTTTACTGTGAAGGCCGTGGAATTCTTCGGTACGGAGGGTTTGGATCCCTCAGATTGCTTAGGCACAACAGGCTTATATCTGCTACGCTCGTTAGGGTAGTTATTATGAGCGCACGCATATATATCAGCAGCTTGTGCCATTTCCGCAGCCGTATGAACGTTTCATCTTTAATGAATATTCGTAAGTCAGAGTTTACAGAAGAAAGGAATTGATCTCTTACCATCAGGTCTCGTAAAGATTCAAAATCGTGGTCAACCTCAGCACTATCAATCCACGAATCAAATAATCTGAAAAGTGTTGTCAAGAATTGCATATAATTTTGATTAGGAGTTATTTTAATGTGTCTAAACTCCGACCTGTAATGATGAGTAGTTTTTTTGAAAGCCTGAAGTATAGCTTTCTTCAGCAGGCTATAACTAGAAATAACATCAAGGGTAGAGTGGAATAGACGTTTAATGCTGAACCTGACAGTAGTAAGCCAAGCCTAGTAGCCCAAGAATCTGATGGCCAGTCACAGAGAGTAGCAGTACTCTCGAATCGAGTAATATATGCCGCTATGTCATCTTGTTCTGAGAAAGGTGGTATTTGTGGCATCCTAATATTAGGTTCTTGGGAAGGGTATTCTAGTACCCCTTCCTCTATTTTCTGCTTGGATAGTTCTATCTTCTTGGCTTCTAATTCCAACCTTGATTGTTCTAACTCAATTTCCTTCATTTTGAAGGCTACCTCTCTTGCCTGAACTCTATCTTCTCTAGCTATCCTTTCCTGTTCGATTTTATCCTCCCGAGCTAGTCTTTCCTGTTCCTTTTTCTCTTCTCGAGCTAGTCTTTCCTGTTCCTTTTTCTCTTCCCGAGCTAGTCTTTCCTGTTCCTTTTTCTCTTCTCGAGCTAGTCTTTCCTGTTCCTCTTTCTTTTCTCGAGCTAGTCTTTCCTGTTCCTTTTTCTCCTCTCGAGCTAGTCTTTCCTGTTCTTTTTCCTGTTCCTTTTTCTCTTCAATAGCCATTTTAGCAGTAATGTAATTATCAAGGCTTTGTCCAGTAAATCCCATTTCCTTTCCAGCTTTCAACCAGAAATCTAAAGAATCCATCTTGTATAAAGAAATATTACGCACCCAACTTCAACTGTCTTAATTAAAACTAACAGGAACGTCTGTTACAAAAGAGGGACACAGTCCGCACACTTTAAACTTCCCAAAGTAGAAAATGAAATAAATATTTCTCCCTGGAAGATACGCTTGTGGGCTCAATAGCCTTCACTAAGCAAAATACGCACAGTTCACACAGGAGGGGTTATCAAAGTTCCCCAGGTCCAACAAATAGGTAAACTTCTAAACCGAACCTTAGAACCAAACAACGGTAAGTCAACCAGGTTACCAGTAATGACTTGACACCTCAACTAACTCACCCTTTTCTATCTTAAATGTTATACTCACAACCAGTTGAACCATCAGGACGATGTTGCTTCAAGAGTCGGATCCTGGCAAGGTCGCCATTGTCAGTGGAACGCCTTCCATTTGAACAAAAGAAACTAATGGAAAAATAAATAAATAAAGAAACGACTAGGAAAAATAAGAATAATGATTTTTGAGGATTTTACTTAAAATTTAAATATAATAAAAAAAAATGGCCTTCGGTTCTTGTAGTTGGGCAGGAGTAGGTAAGGCCCTGGATAGATCTTCTGATATTATTGATGTAGGTTATCCTGGGCGGATGGGGATAGTCCGATGTTTTGGAATCTCCTACCACTTGGATGGAGCACCACAATAGAAAAAGGTAAGGGCCAGTAGTATCCAATAATGTTAATAAGTCTCATTAACAAATGTCCCTTTCTCCTTTATCGCGTCTATCCTGGATGACCACGCCAGGAACAGAGCTAGGTAATAAGAAAAAATAACTGGTTACCAATGGTCATGATAATATAACATTTAAGAATGGAAAAGAATGAAAAAATGCCAAAATCATTACTGGTAACCAGCAAACAAAAGAAAGGAACAAACAGTAATACTCCTGGTAGATCACCCTACCTGATTAGGAGAAGAGTGGAGGTGAAGTGACTCTCAAAACTTCAACCCACACTAGGTAAGGTCAATATTACCAGGAGTAGAAATTTGAACAAATCAGACACCAAGAACTAGTTTCGCCCCAGCCCGCCAGAGGGGGGGGGGTGCGCGACGTAACTCGCTAATGGTTCCTGGTTGTCTGAACAACCTTAACCCCACTTACGCCTACTTTTCCCTCACATGCTGATCAGCTGTGCCAACTAGCAGAAGCAATCTGAATTATTACATACGAATTATGCATTATTATTATTATTATTATTATTACTATTACTATTATTATTATTATTAATTTAGGGAACTGAAGCTCTATCATTATTATAATAATTATTATTATGAATTTAGAGAACTGAAGCTCTATCATTATAATAATAATAATAGTACATGTACAGTGGACCCTCGACCAACGTTGACATCGTCTAACGTTAAATCCGACTAGCGACACATTTTAACGCAAAAATTTTGCCTCGACTAGCGCTAAAAACCCGACCAACGCTATTCGTTCCGTTCGAGACGCGTCCACTTGTGGCCTGAGCGCGCCTCACTTGTCCTGTGGGTGCCAGTGTTTACAAGCCAGCCAGCCACCGCGGTCCCATTCAAACATACAATCGGAACATTTCATATTATCACAGCGTTTGTAGTGATTGCACCTGCAAAATAAGTCACCATGGGCCCCAAGAAAGCTTCTAGTGCCAACCCTACAGCAAAAAGGGTAAGAATTACTCTGGATATGAAGAAAGAGATCATTGCTAAGTATGAAAGTGGAGTGCATGTCTCCGAGCTGGCCAGGTTGTACTACACAAAACCCCAATCAACCATTGCTACTATTGTGGCCAAGAAAACGGCAATCAAGGAAGCTGTTCTTGCCAAAGGTGCAACTATGCTTTCGAAACTGAGATCGCAAGTGATAGAAGATGTTGAGAGACTGTTATTGGTGTGGATAAACGAAAAACAGAAAGCAGGAGATAGCATCTCTCAAGCGATTATATGTGAAAAGGCTAGGAAGTTGCATGACAATTTAATTAAAAAAATGCCAGCAATTAGTGGTGATGTGGGTGAATTTAAGGCCAGCAAAGGTTGGTTTGAGAGATTTAAGAATCGTAGTGGCATACATAGTGTGATAAGGCATGGTGAGGCTGCCAGTTTGGACCAC